AAATAATGGTAAAATATTTTGATTTTGAAGACTTTTAAAAAACTCTCTTAATGCGGCACTTCTAGTTATAACATCATCATTAATAGTTGCTACAGAATTATATTGAGTATTGAGAAGAAAATATGCTAGCGGGATTCCAAAGCCTTCACAATTCAACATAATAGCGAATAATTCAAATTTTTCGCTATTGGTTTTAAAAGTTGAATCAATTATAAGCTCTCTGATATTTTTAGCCCCAACTAAATCTAGTAGAGGCGTAGTAAAACCAAGTGCCTGAATAAAATTATTTTCATGAAAATAAACTAAATTATAGTTATTATGTATTAATTCTGGTTTCTGCAAAAATCTTTTCACTGATTGGAGTTGGTTTTGAAAGTCAACAACAAAACGGTCTTTTGAATAAACTGAAATCCAATAGTATGCTTGAAGATAGGTATGTATTTGCAGATTAATATACTGTAAAATACATAACCTTTTATAGATTTCAATTTTTGGCATACAATAATTAATATTTGACTGAATCCAATGCTTTGCTTCATTAGGAAAATTTGTTAAATGATGCGTTGGTTCTACATGAGCGAGAAGATGTTTAATGTAGATGATAACTTTCTTGTTGATCAAATTAACTCTTATTGATATAGCACCAGCACATGAAAAATGCTGGATAGGCTGTCGTGCTTCACTATTATGTTGTGTTAAATGATTTTGTGGATATATTTTTTTATATCATCTCTTTGCGCACATTCTAGCAAGTAACTTGCTTGTCCTGTGTATTTTGAATCTCTATGATTAATATAAGTTCTTTTCAGTCTCCATTGATAATTTGAACCACGGAATATAGGAATAAGTAAAATATTTTTGAGCTTATCAAATGATTCCTTACTAATACTAGAGCTATCCATTATACTTTCAATTAAATTTTCTTCAAGATCTACAATTACGCTAAAGTCTATTTCTAAATTTTCATCTTTTGATTGCGCAAATTTTGATTTTATGTAAGATTCAAGATCTTCGATTGAAAAAATAAATGAATCATCTGTCTCTTGCTCTAATAAATCATCTGACTTTATATCCTGTTGCTTACGTTTTTTATAACTTTCCTTATTTTTAAAAGAAAATTCATTATAGTTTTTTTGTTCTTTTTTTTTATTATTATGAATTTACAAAATTCTTCAATAGATTTAAAATGTTTGCATCGACCACACTGCTTCAATGTCATCTTGAGTAAATTTTAGGTTTTTTTTTTTTTTTTTTTTTGTATTAAATATTACTACGTACGTACATAAGTACGTATTGTTTTTGTTTTTGTTTCACATTTGTAATTACTATTTTAAGTTGTAGTTGCAAATTTTGTGTAATAAAAGTATCAGTATTGCTTATAAAAATAAATATAGTAATATCAAGTAAAAATCTGTAATTGTATTAACGTTAATAATTCACTTCTAAACCAAACTTTTAATGATATTAAATCCAGAAATTATGAATACAAATTCTTAATCTTATTTTAATAAACATATTTCTGTTATAAGTAGAGGCAGAATGTCAAATCAAGCTTTAAAGAAAACTGTTAAGTATAATCACAAGCTATGTATATAGGTAAATATATGGAATGTCATATATTAAAAGGATTCTTAAATAGATATGTATTTAATGAAAAAATTTGCTCCAAGTTACAAGAGCTAATTATATAACAAAAGATTCGCAAAATAAATTGTGTTTATATTTGCAAATCATTTTTTTTAAATTCGATTTACTCAAAATTATTTATGTAAAAATAAAATGAACTCTTTATGCATAACACCCAATATAACAGAACACTTTGAGTATATATGTCATAAATGGATTTTTAGAGTTAGAATATAAGTTTATATAATAAATTCTATATACTCCAAAATTATAATTTTATCCAAGCCCACTTAAATTTCATTCCCACTCATAACATACTATTTTACCTATATAATAGTTATCTAACAATTATAAAAATAGTTATATGAAATATTATGGCATATTTGTTGAATTAAGAGAATTCGATCACCAAATTTATTATTGAATAAACCTCAAAATTTTTTTGCACCCCAGATTTACTATAATGCATCATAGCATTTAACCTATCTTTCTACTTAATCTATCTTCTCACATTTTGTTCAAATTTTTATTTTTTCTGATGACGCATTTTATTAATCAATTTTATTACATAGTATATTGAATATATTTCAATAATAATTCCAACTCATATTGATATATATAAAGTCAATTAAATTGATTCGCTAGGATATTTTACAAATGAGCTATGATAAATAAATATATACCGGGTGTTTTAAAAATTTCACATCTGATTCCTATTTTTTTTTTTGAATTTTAAGATGAGGCTATGTCTCTAACTGGTCTCTATTTTTTCAGTGACCTTATATACATATTTGTATAAATAATCATTGTAATCTCTATATATAAGGTCTTACCATTAGTTGTGTCTTGTCTTAATGAGCTTATATGGGTAAAAATCTCCAGTTGAAACACAGTGATTATTAAAAATTAGGTGATATTATAATCATGTACAGCAACAATTTATAAGTAATTAGGTTACAATCAGGTAAACAAAATATTGAACAAAATACTGATACGTAAGTAATAAGGTTATAATTAGACATATATGTGCAAAGAAATTTTAATCTGGTACATAACTAGGTCATAGTTGGAGATTTTCGCCCATATGTCTACAACTTTATTTAAAGCTCTAACGACAGTTTAAGTAAGTCAGTAGTGAACTTTTAAAACACACACCTGGTATAATATAACAAGTTTATCATACCTTTCATACAAAGCAATATAAAGCTTATACGTATTATATAATTCAGGTTTTTATAGTACTTTTATAAGTATGTATTATTATTAGCGATGGGAATTTCTAATTGTTAACTTAACAATTAAATTGTTAAAATGATTTATATATAAATTTATATATAAATCATTTTAACATTAAATTGTTAATATGATTTATATAGTTAATAATTAGAAATTCTCATCACTAATTATTATGTAATACGGGTTTATAAAACCCTAAAATCAATATAAATATACATTTTTATATAAATACAAATATACAGATCGTAAAATAATATAAATTTACCATTATGTAATAAGGGTTCATAGAACCCTCAAATCAATATAAATATGTATATTATTAAACACAAACGTTAAAATAATATAAACTTATAATTATGTAAGCCATCTATCTAATTCGGGTTCATCATACCCTCATATTATTAATACGTATATATTATCAAACACAGACGAATAAAGTCATAATGTACCCTTATCAAACAGACGAAATATAACAATACAAATTAAATATAATGTGGGTTTATAGTACCTCATATTTCTATAAATATAAGCTTATGTTATTTAATATATAAGCTTATAATTATATACGCTATATTATATAATAATATAATTCGGGTTCTAGTACCCTCATATTTCTATAAATATAGAGGGAATCGAGCTTTTAATTCATTATAAACATTTCTGTCAAACTATTTATACAAATTACAATTCAATAAATTATCTCTATTAATAAAGTATATTTATATTAATATGATGGTACAATGAATCTGAATTATATAGTAATAAGCTTAATTATTAAACACAGATAAACAGAATCATATTACAATATAAACTTAATATATAAATTGGTATATAAGATTATCACTATATAATTCAGGTTCTAAATATGCATTATTATATAATTCAGGATCATTTACCCTTATGTCGCATTTATTAATTAGTTCAAACCAGGATTTATACAATTCTGGGGATTTTTCATTTTACGTAAGCAATAAAAAAAATCTCTGAAATTGCATAAGTTTATATATTAATCACATCCTTAATTATTGCATTTAAAATTACGGAAGTTGATGCATATTTATTCTAAAATTGGTCAAACAAAATTTTACAAAATATCTCAATTGAGTCACTCATTAACATAATCTGGGTAGTTTATGAAAAATTTGGTTTCAAATCCTCTAATTCTATATCATGTATGTACATTCCAAATTCTGCACTATCCTCCATGATTTGTTTTGCTTCTTCCAATCTAATTCATCGATCTTGAGCTATTAATCTAATAGCAGTTTCAGGAACTAGCACCTCATTAAGATACTCTTCAAGATTCTGAGGCTTGGTCATTTCATATGTTAGTTTGCGTGATGTAATAAGTATATTAAGCATAGATTGGATAACAAACATCCCTTTAGAACCATAGTAACCTGGCTAATTTAAAATGTATATATGTTAGTTAGTAGTTTGCAATGGGGATGCCTATAGCAAAAGAAGAGTATGGGATAT